AGGGGGGGGGGGGGGCCCCCCCCCCCCCCCCCGAGTGCACAAATTTTTGTGCACCGGGCCTCTAGTCTATAATAATAAAAGCGTGAAATGCTAATTAGACCGGATGTCCTTCCGGGCATCCTTCCGGGTGAACCCCGAGCGGCGAGGGAAGCCCGGATCCTGGTGTCTCCATTGGAGGGTCCACAGACCCAGAGCGAAGACCTGGGAGCCAGGACAGGCCGTTCCCACCCCATCTCAGCTCACGCTCCCCCAATTCCCTGTGTCCCCCAGCCGGCGTGATGATGGTTCCCCAGAGGGAGACGGCGGACGGGTTTGAGGAACACTTCGGCCTGAACTACCTGGGTCACTTCCTGCTCACCAACCTGCTCCTGGACACCCTGAGGGAGTCGGGGCGCCCCGGCCGCAGCGCCAGGGTGGTGAGCCTGTCCTCGGCGACGCACTACGTCGGGGAGCTGGCCCTGGACGACCTTCAGAGCAGGTGGGTGCGGGGGGCAGGCCCCCGTCCGTCCGGACAGCGATGCTTCCGGTTCAAGGTCACCTGGCCCTGCAGACACTCGGACACTCCCGGCTCCGCCCTCCTGACCAGATCGACGGTCGTTCATGTCACCAACCTTTTTTTTGTTTTTTTTTTCTTTTTGTTTTTGTTCATCCTCACTGGTGGAAATGTTCCCCAATACTTGACATTTTTAAGTATATTTGTATTGATTTCAGAGAGGAAAGGAGAGGGAGAGAGAGAAACATCCATGATGAGAGAGAATCATGGATCGGCTGCCTCCTGCACGCCCCCTACTGGGGATGGAGCCTGCAACAGAGACATGTGCTATGACAGGGAATCGAACCCAGGACCCTTTAGTCTCCAGGCCGACGCTCTATCCATTGAGCCACACCAGCTAGGGCTATTTTTATTTATTTTTTAAGTACATTTGTATTGATTTCAAAGAGAGGAAGGGGGAGGGAGGGAGAGAGAGAAAAACATCCATGATGAGAGAGAATCACGGATCAACTGCCTCCTGCATGCCCCCTACTGGGGATGGAGCCCACAACCCGGGCATATGCCCTTGACTGGGAATCGAACCCGGGACCCTTCAGTCCGCAGGCCGACGCTCTATCCACTGAGCCAAACTGGCTAGGGCTCTGTTAACTTTTTAGAGTGAGTGGAGGAGAAAGAGAAAAAGAGAGAGAGAGAGAGAGACATTGATGTGAGAGAGACACATCAATCAGTTGCCACCCCCGTGCACTCTGACCGGGAGCGGGGATCGAACCTAAAACCCAGGTATGTGGCCCTCAATGGGGAATTTGACCCCACGACCCCTGGGTGCACGGGCAGATGCTCTAACCACTGAGCCACACCAGCCAGGGCACACCACCCATTTTTTTTACGATCCCGTCTCCTGGTGATAATTATAACGACGATATCTGCTCATTGTTTACTGTTTTCCAATCTCACGTTGAAGCTCATTGCCCACAGGGGCTCGATCATCCATCATAGAAAATCTTGTAGACAAATATGCTAATAATCATCATCATTTCGCACATGGTGAGGCTGAAGAATGCGTTTTGCCTCTGGTATTTTCTGAAACCTGTTAGGCCGTCATCAAACAGCCCAGGAAATAGGACGGCGGAATCGTTAATAACTCATTCAGGTAGGCCCTGGCCGGCGTGGCTCAGTGGTTGAGCGTCGACCTGTGAACCAGGAGGTCACAGGTCCGATTCCCGGCCAAGGGCACATGCCCGGGTTGCGGGCTCGATCCCCAATAGGGGGCGTGCAGGAGGCTTCCGGTCCGTGATTCTCTCTCATCGCGGATGTTTCTCTCTCTCTCTCCCTCTCCCTTCCTCTCTGAAATCAGTAAAAATGTATGAAAAAGAATATAAATATAGAAGAAAAATATTTTATTTATTTATTTTTAAAATATATATTTTATTGATTTTTTTACCGAGAGGAAGGGAGAGGGATAGAGAGTTAGAAACATCGATGAGAGAGAAACATCGACCAGCTGCCTCCTGCACGCCCCCCACTGGGGATGTGTCCGCAACCAAGGTAAATGCCCTTGACCGGAATCGAACCCGGGACCCTTGAGTCTACAGGCCGATGCTCTATCCACTCAGCCACACCGGTTAGGGCAAAGAAAAATATTTTAAAAAAATAAAAATTTCAAAAGAAAAGCCATGGAAATTATATCCTCACATGAGGATTAAACAAATAAAAAAGAAAGAGTCAGGCCCCAGCTGGTGTTGCTCAGTGGATACAGCGTCGGCCTGCGGACTGAAGGGTCCCGGGCTCGATATCCGGTCAAGGGCACAGGCCCGGGTTGCAGGCTCCATCCCCAGTAGGGGGCGTGCAGGAGGCAGTTGATCCATGATTCCTCTCATCATGGATGTTTCTCTCTCTTCCTCTCCCTTCTTCTCTCCCCAAAGTCAATGAACAAAATCATATATTTAAAAAAACCCGGATATGCTAAGTGTGTAGTCGTTCGGTCAGCCATTCAACCAATCAAAACGTAATTTGCTAATGATATGCTAAGGCCGCTCAACCGCTCGCTATGACGTGCACTGACCACCAGGGGCAGACAGTCGACCTGTCGACCAGTCGCTATGGCGTGCACTGACCACCAGGGGGCAGACAGTCAATTGGTCGACCAGTCGCTATGACGTGCACTGACCACCAGGGGCAGACAGTCGACCTGTCGACCAGTCGCTATGGCGTGCACTGACCACCAGGGGGCAGACAGTCAATTGGTCGACCAGTCGCTATGACGTGCACTGACCACCAGGGGCAGACAGTCGACCTGTCGACCAGTCGCTATGGCGTGCACTGACCACCAGGGGGCAGACAGTCAATTGGTCGACCAGTCGCTATGACGTGCACTGACCACCAGGGGCAGACAGTCGACCTGTCGACCAGTCGCTATGGCGTGCACTGACCACCAGGGGGCAGACAGTCAATTGGTCGACCAGTCGCTATGACGTGCACTGACCACCAGGGGCAGACAGTCGACCTGTCGACCAGTCGCTATGGCGTGCACTGACCACCAGGGGGCAGACAGTCAATTGGTCGACCAGTCGCTATGACGTGCACTGACCACCAGGGGCAGACAGTCGACCTGTCGACCAGTCGCTATGGCGTGCACTGACCACCAGGGGGCAGACAGTCAATTGGTCGACCAGTCGCTATGACGTGCACTGACCACCAGGGGCAGACAGTCGACCTGTCGACCAGTCGCTATGGCGTGCACTGACCACCAGGGGGCAGACAGTCAATTGGTCGACCAGTCGCTATGACGTGCACTGACCACCAGGGGCAGACAGTCGACCTGTCGACCAGTCGCTATGGCGTGCACTGACCACCAGGGGGCAGACAGTCAATTGGTCGACCAGTCGCTATGACGTGCACTGACCACCAGGGGCAGACAGTCGACCTGTCGACCAGTCGCTATGGCGTGCACTGACCACCAGGGGGCAGACAGTCAATTGGTCGACCAGTCGCTATGACGTGCACTGACCACCAGGGGCAGACAGTCGACCTGTCGACCAGTCGCTATGGCGTGCACTGACCACCAGGGGGCAGACAGTCAATTGGTCGACCAGTCGCTATGACGTGCACTGACCACCAGGGGCAGACAGTCGACCTGTCGACCAGTCGCTATGGCGTGCACTGACCACCAGGGGGCAGACAGTCAATTGGTCGACCAGTCGCTATGACGTGCACTGACCACCAGGGGCAGACAGTCGACCTGTCGACCAGTCGCTATGGCGTGCACTGACCACCAGGGGGCAGACAGTCAATTGGTCGACCAGTCGCTATGACGTGCACTGACCACCAGGGGCAGACAGTCGACCTGTCGACCAGTCGCTATGGCGTGCACTGACCACCAGGGGGCAGACAGTCAATTGGTCGACCAGTCGCTATGACGTGCACTGACCACCAGGGGCAGACAGTCGACCTGTCGACCAGTCGCTATGGCGTGCACTGACCACCAGGGGGCAGACAGTCAATTGGTCGACCAGTCGCTATGACGTGCACTGACCACCAGGGGCAGACAGTCGACCTGTCGACCAGTCGCTATGGCGTGCACTGACCACCAGGGGGCAGACAGTCAATTGGTCGACCAGTCGCTATGACGTGCACTGACCACCAGGGGCAGACAGTCGACCTGTCGACCAGTCGCTATGGCGTGCACTGACCACCAGGGGGCAGACAGTCAATTGGTCGACCAGTCGCTATGACGTGCACTGACCACCAGGGGCAGACAGTCGACCTGTCGACCAGTCGCTATGGCGTGCACTGACCACCAGGGGGCAGACAGTCAATTGGTCGACCAGTCGCTATGACGTGCACTGACCACCAGGGGCAGACAGTCGACCTGTCGACCAGTCGCTATGGCGTGCACTGACCACCAGGGGGCAGACAGTCAATTGGTCGACCAGTCGCTATGACGTGCACTGACCACCAGGGGCAGACAGTCGACCTGTCGACCAGTCGCTATGGCGTGCACTGACCACCAGGGGGCAGACAGTCAATTGGTCGACCAGTCGCTATGACGTGCACTGACCACCAGGGGCAGACAGTCGACCTGTCGACCAGTCGCTATGGCGTGCACTGACCACCAGGGGGCAGACAGTCAATTGGTCGACCAGTCGCTATGACGTGCACTGACCACCAGGGGCAGACAGTCGACCTGTCGACCAGTCGCTATGGCGTGCACTGACCACCAGGGGGCAGACAGTCAATTGGTCGACCAGTCGCTATGACGTGCACTGACCACCAGGGGCAGACAGTCGCTCTCGCAATGCAGGCTGAGGGATCCCCCCGCCAAGTGCATGAATTTCGTGCACCGGGCCTCTAGTATTAAAAAATAAAAAATTAAAAGGACAGGAAACACCCCTTGGAAATGCAGGAGGCGGTGCTAATGGACATGGGGAGCGGGTTAGGGATGTGGGACGGAGGGAAGAACTCGGACTTGGCCAGGATCCGGCCCCACGGCTCCTCCTCCCCCTCATCTTCTCGTAGGGGCGGCTACTCCCCGCATGGCGCCTACGCCCAGAGCAAGCTGGCCCTGGTCCTCTTCACCTACCACCTCCAGGGGCTGCTGGCCGCCCAGGGCAGCCACGTGACCGCCAACGTGGCCGACCCCGGCGTGGTCGACACCGACCTCTACAAGCACGTCTTCTGGGGCACCCGTCTGGTCAAGAAGCTGTTCGGCTGGTTGTTTTTCAAGGTAAGCCTCCGACGTATCTTCATTATTATTATTATTATTTTTTAATCGAGAGGGAGAGAGAGAGAAACATCCATGAGGAGAGAGAATCATGGACCGGCCGCCTCCTGCACGCCCCCTACTGGTTGGGGATGGAGCCTGAAACCAAGGCGTGTGCCCTTGACCGGGAATCGAACCCTGACCTCCTGGTTCCTAGGTGGACGCTCAACCACTGAGCCACGCCAGCTGGACAATGTAGAACTCTATCTATCTATCTATCTATCTATCTATCTATCTATCTATCTATCTATCTATCATCTATATCTATCTATCTATCTATCTATCTATCTATCATCTATATCTATCTATCTATCTATCTATCTATCTATCATCTATATCTATCTATCTATCTATCTATCTATCTATCATCTATATCTATCTATCTATCTATCTATCTATCTATCATCTATATCTATCTATCTATCTATCTATCTATCTATCATCTATATCTATCTATCTATCTATCTATCTATCTATCATCTATATCTATCTATCTATCTATCTATCTATCTATCATCTATATCTATCTATCTATCTATCTATCTATCTATCATCTATATCTATCTATCTATCTATCTATCTATCTATCATCTATATCTATCTATCTATCTATCTATCTATCTATCATCTATATCTATCTATCTATCTATCTATCTATCTATCATCTATATCTATCTATCTATCTATCTATCTATCTATCATCTATATCTATCTATCTATCTATCTATCTATCTATCATCTATATCTATCTATCTATCTATCTATCTATCTATCATCTATATCTATCTATCTATCTATCTATCTATCTATCATCTATATCTATCTATCTATCTATCTATCTATCTATCATCTATCTATATCTATCTGTCTATCTATCTATCTATCTATATCTATGTCTATTTATTTTAATTTATTTAAGAGAGGGAGGGAAAGATAGAAACATCCATGATGAGAGAGAATCATGAATCGGCCGCCTCCTGCACGCCCCCCACTGGGGATCACCTCCGTTCTCTTTTCCTACGTCCGCTAGGCCCCTCATTTCCGCCATCTCTCAATTCTGCAGAATTATACCTCCTCGGAGAGCATTTCCCAAACTGTACCCCTGCCCCCTGTTTAATTTTGTAATCTTAATATGTACTTCCTTTTCATATACGCTTTTTATTTTTTTTAAATATATTCTATTGATTTTTTTTACCGAGAGGAAGGGAGAGGGATAGAGAGTTAGAAACATCGCTGAGAGAGAAACATCGATCGCTGCCTCCTGCACGCCTCCTACTGGGGATGTGCCCGCAGCCAAGGTACATGCCCTTGACCGGGAATCGAACCCGGGACCTTTCAGTCCGCAGGCCGACGCTCTATCCACTGAGCCACACCAGTTAGGGCAACATCATCAATTTTTATACGCATCTGCTGATCAAAAGGAACAAATGGCCCGGCCGGTGTGGCTCAGTGGTTGAGCGTCAACCTATGAATCAGGAGGTCATGGTTCGATTCCCGGTCAAGGGCACATGCCCGGGTTGGGGGCTCCATCCCCAGTAGGGGGCGTGCAGGGGACAGCCGGTCCATGATTCTCTCTCGTCATGGATGTTTCGCTCTCTCTCTGTCTCCCTCTCCCTTCCTCTCTGAAATCAACTAAAAATATTTAAAAAATAAAAATAAAAAAAATGAAGACAAACTCACCCTCGATTTGGGGGTCGGCGAGCTTGCCCACCCCCAGCCTCCCATGTGGGTTTGTGGACCCAGGACGATGCCAAATCTAACCCACCAGCAGGAACATGAGCTGAGGACCCCAATTTCTGCTCTGAACGTTGATGTCCTGCTCCCCCCCTCTTCCTACTCCCCACAGACCCCCGACGAAGGAGCCTGGACCTCCGTCTACGCTGCCGTCACCCCCGACCTGGAGGGTGTGGGCGGGCGTTACCTGTACAACGAGAAAGACACCAGGTCCCTGGCCCTCACCTACGACCAACACCTGCAGCAAGAACTCTGGGCCAGGAGTTGCCAGATGACGGGCATTCGAGACCAGACACGGGACCCCTTCTCGGAATAGCTGCTTCCCCCCATCGACGGACTTTTTTTTGGGGGGACAGGGCTGTGAGGAATCTCGGGTCTGTGTGTTTGACACCCGCCTAATCTCGGGGAGCAGTTCCCCAATAGCTTATGAGATTAGGGGGTGTCTTTACGGGAAGTCTCGCAGCCAAAGACGCGCTGGGTGTCCCCCCCCCTGAGCCCCAGGGATTCTGCCTTAAATCTTGTGATGACAAAGAGCCAAATTGTGACAGGTGCCATGAATGATTAAACCCTTCTCCCTGAATGTACGGGTCTCTTTGCCGGGCACAGAGTGGACGCGTGGGGTTGGGTAGCTACGTTCCCCATGGGATGGACACGTTTTTATATATATATACATACTAGAGGCCCGGTGCACAA